GCAGTACGTGGACGGTTAGCTCAGTTGGTTAGAGCGTCGTGCTAATAACGCAAATGTTGTGGGGTCGATCCCCATACTGGCCAATGATATATTTTTAATAAAATACAAGGATAATATTTTTTACAACTTTCATGTATATTGTCATGTTTTTAAATTTGTTGTTAGTGCAGTACGTGGACGGTTAGCTCAGTTGGTTAGAGTGTCGTGCTAATAACGCGAATGTCGTGGGTTCGATCCCCATACTGGCCAGTGATATATTTTTTAATAAAATACAAAGATAATATTTTCACAACTTTAAAGTATATTGTCATGTTTTTAAATTTGTTGTTTGTGTTGTACGTGGCCGGTAGCTCAGTTGGTTAGAGCGTCGTGCTAATAACGCGAATGTCGTGGGTTCGATCCCCATACTGGCCAATGTTATATTTTTACTTTCTCGTATATACGTAGTATAGAGAAAGTATTGTAATCGTGCAAAAAAAAAATCGAGATTTTTACAAATCTCGACGTTTTACACCTCACTGATACGGAAAAACATAATTTTGCAATCTTGTCCGTATGTCTGTGTGTGTGTGTGTCTGTCCGTGTGTGTGTCCGTGTGTAAACACGATAACTTGAGTACCGTTACAGCTAGGTTGATGAAATTTCATATATAAGTATTTTATCAAAATCGTAGATCCGTGTCAACTTTTGAGCGATTTCCGATAACCGGAAGTGGTACTTTTCCTACTTTGAATTTTTTAAAAGCCTATAACTTGAGTACTATTTCAGATAGATAAATGAAATTTCACATGTAAGTAAAAGATCTAATTCTCTACCTTCTGTTAAATTTTGAGTAATTTCCGTTGACTGGAAGTAGTAATTTACGCTACTTCCGATTTCTCAAAAAACTAATGTAAATTTTAAAAGTACTAATAATATTGCGCACTATTATGCGCTTTTTTTATTTGCGTTCACATGGTGTGCAATTAATTTGTCTACGAGATTTTATTCTATTTTTAAAACTTTAAGTATTTAAAATGGATTAAAAATCATGTCTATAGCCCGAGTTTCCATCCCGTTATTTTATATAAGAATATTCGAGAAAGTTTAGGGGAGATCACTCCCGGTTTATTTAATAAATTACAAAGAAAATATTTTTACAACTTTCATGTATATTGTCATTTTTTTAAATTTTCTGTTTCTTAAGTATGTGGCCGGTTAGCTCAGTTGGTTAGAGCGTCGTGCTAATAACGCGAATGTCGTGGGTTCGATCCCCATACTGGCCAATGTTATATTTTTTAATAAAATACAAAGATAATATTTTTACAACTTTCATGTATATTGTTATGTTTTTAAATTTTCTGTTTCTTACGTATGTGGCCGGTTAGCTCAGTTGGTTAGAGCGTCGTGCTAATAACGCGAATGTCGTGGGTTCGATCTCCATACTGGCCAGTGTTATATTTTTAATAAAATACAAAGATAATATTTTTACAACTTTCATGTATATTGTCATGTTTTTAAATTTGTTGTTAGTCTAGTACGTGGCCGGTTAGCTCAGTTGGTTAGAGTGTCGTGCTAATAACGCGAATGTCGTGGGTTCGATCCCCATACTGGCCAGTGATATATTTTTTAATAAAATACAAAGATAATATTTTTACAACTTTCATGTATATTGTCATGTTTTTAAATGTGTTGTTTGTATTGTACGTGGACGGTTAGCTCAGTTGGTTTGAGTGTCGTGCTAATAACGCGAATGTCGTGGGTTCGATCCCCATACTGGCCAATGTTATATTTTTTAATAAAATACAAAGATAATATTTTTACAACTTTCATGTATATTGTCATGTTTTTAAATTTTCTGTTTCTTAAGTATGTGGCCGGTTAGCTCAGTTGGTTAGAGCGTCGTGCTAATAACGCGAATGTCGTGGGTTCGATCTCCATACTGGCCAGTGTTATATTTTTAATAAAATACAAAGATAATATTTTTACAACTTTCATGTATATTGTCATGTTTTTAAATTTTCTGTTTCTTAAGTATGTGGCCGGTTAGCTCAGTTGGTTAGAGCGTCGTGCTAATAACGCGAATGTCGTGGGTTCGATCCCCATACTGGCCAATGTTATATTTTTTAATAAAATACAAAGATAATATTTTTACAACTTTCATGTATATTGTCATGTTTTTAAATTTGTTGTTAGTGCAGTACGTGGACGGTTAGCTCAGTTGGTTAGAGTGTCGTGCTAATAACGCGAATGTCGTGGGTTCGATCCCCATACTGGCCAGTGATATATTTTTTAATAAAATACAAAGATAATATTTTCACAACTTTAAAGTATATTGTCATGTTTTTAAATTTGTTGTTTGTGTTGTACGTGGCCGGTAGCTCAGTTGGTTAGAGCGTCGTGCTAATAACGCGAATGTCGTGGGTTCGATCCCCATACAGGCCAATGTTATATCTTTTAATAAATTACAAAGAAAATATTTTTACAACTTTCATGTATATTGTCATGTTTTTAAATTTTCTGTTTCTTAAGTATGTGGCCGGTTAGCTCAGTTGGTTAGAGCGTCGTGCTAATAACGCGAATGTCGTGGGTTCGATCCCCATACTGGCCAATGTTATATTTTTTAATAAAATACAAAGATAATATTTTTACAACTTTCATGTATATTGTCATGTTTTTAAATTTGTTGTTAGTGCAGTACGTGGACGGTTAGCTCAGTTGGTTAGAGTGTCGTGCTAATAACGCGAATGTCGTGGGTTCGATCTCCATACTGGCCAGTGTTATATTTTTTAATAAAATACAAAGATAATATTTTTACAACTTTCATGTATATTGTCATGTTTTTAAATTTTCTGTTTTTTAAGTATGTGGCCGGTTAGCTCAGTTGGTTAGAGCGTCGTGCTAATAACGCGAATGTCGTGGGTTCGATCTCCATACTGGCCAGTGTTATATTTTTAATAAAATACAAAGATAATATTTTTACAACTTTCATGTATATTGTCATGTTTTTAAACTTGTTGTTAGTCTAGTACGTGGCCGGTTAGCTCAGTTGGTTAGAGCGTCGTGCTAATAACGCAAATGTTGTGGGGTCGATCCCCATACTGGCCAATGATATATTTTTAATAAAATACAAGGATAATATTTTTTACAACTTTCATGTATATTGTCATGTTTTTAAATTTGTTGTTAGTGCAGTACGTGGACGGTTAGCTCAGTTGGTTAGAGTGTCGTGCTAATAACGCGAATGTCGTGGGTTCGATCCCCATACTGGCCAGTGATATATTTTTTAATAAAATACAAAGATAATATTTTCACAACTTTAAAGTATATTGTCATGTTTTTAAATTTGTTGTTTGTGTTGTACGTGGCCGGTAGCTCAGTTGGTTAGAGCGTCGTGCTAATAACGCGAATGTCGTGGGTTCAATCCCCATACTGGCCAATGTTATATTTTTTAATAAAATACAAAAATAATATTTTTACAACTTTCATGTATATTATCATGTTTTTAAATTTTCTGTTTCTTAAGTATGTGGCCGGTTAGCTCAGTTGGTTAGAGCGTCGTGCTAATAACGCGAATGTCGTGGGTTCGATCCCCATACTGGCCAATGTTATATTTTTTAATAAAATACAAAGATAATATTTTTACAACTTTCATGTATATTGTCATGTTTTTAAATGTGTTGTTTGTATTGTACGTGGACGGTTAGCTCAGTTGGTTAGAGTGTCGTGCTAATAACGCGAATGTCGTGGGTTCGATCTCCATACTGGCCAGTGTTATATTTTTAATAAAATACAAAGATAATATTTTTACAACTTTCATGTATATTGTCATGTTTTTAAACTTGTTGTTAGTCTAGTACGTGGCCGGTTAGCTCAGTTGGTTAGAGCGTCGTGCTAATAACGCAAATGTTGTGGGGTCGATCCCCATACTGGCCAATGATATATTTTTAATAAAATACAAGGATAATATTTTTTACAACTTTCATGTATATTGTCATGTTTTTAAATTTGTTGTTAGTGCAGTACGTGGACGGTTAGCTCAGTTGGTTAGAGTGTCGTGCTAATAACGCGAATGTCGTGGGTTCGATCCCCATACTGGCCAGTGATATATTTTTTAATAAAATACAAAGATAATATTTTCACAACTTTAAAGTATATTGTCATGTTTTTAAATTTGTTGTTTGTGTTGTACGTGGCCGGTAGCTCAGTTGGTTAGAGCGTCGTGCTAATAACGCGAATGTCGTGGGTTCAATCCCCATACTGGCCAATGTTATATTTTTTAATAAAATACAAAAATAATATTTTTACAACTTTCATGTATATTATCATGTTTTTAAATTTTCTGTTTCTTAAGTATGTGGCCGGTTAGCTCAGTTGGTTAGAGCGTCGTGCTAATAACGCGAATGTCGTGGGTTCGATCCCCATACTGGCCAATGTTATATTTTTTAATAAAATACAAAGATAATATTTTTACAACTTTCATGTATATTGTCATGTTTTTAAATGTGTTGTTTGTATTGTACGTGGACGGTTAGCTCAGTTGGTTAGAGTGTCGTGCTAATAACGCGAATGTCGTGGGTTCGATCTCCATACTGGCCAGTGTTATATTTTTAATAAAATACAAAGATAATATTTTTACAACTTTCATGTATATTGTCATGTTTTTAAATTTGTTGTTAGTCTAGTACGTGGCCGGTTAGCTCAGTTGGTTAGAGCGTCGTGCTAATAACGCAAATGTTGTGGGGTCGATCCCCATACTGGCCAATGATATATTTTTAATAAAATACAAGGATAATATTTTTTACAACTTTCATGTATATTGTCATGTTTTTAAATTTGTTGTTAGTGCAGTACGTGGACGGTTAGCTCAGTTGGTTAGAGTGTCGTGCTAATAACGCGAATGTCGTGGGTTCGATCCCCATACTGGCCAGTGATATATTTTTTAATAAAATACAAAGATAATATTTTCACAACTTTAAAGTATATTGTCATGTTTTTAAATTTGATGTTTGTGTTGTACGTGGCCGGTAGCTCAGTTATTTAGAGCGTCGTGCTAAAAACGCGAATGTCGTGGGTTCAATCCCCATACTGGCCAATGTTATATTTTTTAATAAAATACAAAAATAATATTTTTACAACTTTCATGTATATTATCATGTTTTTAAATTTTCTGTTTCTTAAGTATGTGGCCGGTTAGCTCAGTTGGTTAGAGCGTCGTGCTAATAACGCGAATGTCGTGGGTTCGATCCCCATACTGGCCAATGTTATATTTTTTAATAAAATACAAAGATAATATTTTTACAACTTTCATGTATATTGTCATGTTTTTAAATTTTCTGTTTCTTAAGTATGTGGCCGGTTAGCTCAGTTGGTTAGAGCGTCGTGCTAATAACGCGAATGTCGTGGGTTCGATCCCCATACTGGCCAATGTTATATTTTTTAATAAAATACAAAGATAATATTTTTACAACTTTCATGTATATTGTCATGTTTTTAAATTTGTTGTTAGTGCAGTACGTGGACGGTTAGCTCAGTTGGTTAGAGCGTCGTGCTAATAACGCGAATGTCGTGGGTTCAATCCCCATACTGGCCAATGTTATATTTTTTAATAAAATACAAAAATAATATTTTTACAACTTTCATGTATATTATCATGTTTTTAAATTTTCTGTTTCTTAAGTATGTGGCCGGTTAGCTCAGTTGGTTAGAGCGTCGTGCTAATAACGCGAATGTCGTGGGTTCGATCCCCATACTGGCCAATGTTATATTTTTTAATAAAATACAAAGATAATATTTTTACAACTTTCATGTATATTGTCATGTTTTTAAATTTGTTGTTTGTATTGTACGTGGACGGTTAGCTCAGTTGGTTAGAGTGTCGTGCTAATAACGCGAATGTCGTGGGTTCGATCCCCATACTGGCCAATGTTATATTTTTTAATAAAATACAAAGATAATATTTTTACAACTTTCATGTATATTGTCATGTTTTTAAATTTTCTGTTTCTTAAGTATGTGGCCGGTTAGCTCAGTTGGTTAGAGCGTCGTGCTGATAACGCGAATGTCTTGGGTTCGATCTCCATACTGGCCAGTGTTATATTTTTTAATAAAATACAAAGATAATATTTTTACAACTTTCATGTATATTGTCATGTTTTTAAATTTGTTGTTTGTATTGTACGTGGCCGGTTAGCTCAGTTGGTTAGAGCGTCGTGCTAATAACGCGAATGTCGTGGGTTCGATCCCCATACTGGCCAGTGATATATTTTTTAATAAAATACAAAGATAATATTTTCACAACTTTAAAGTATATTGTCATGTTTTTAAATTTGTTGTTTGTGTTGTACGTGGCCGGTAGCTCAGTTGGTTAGAGCGTCGTGCTAATAACGCGAATGTCGTGGGTTCGACCCCCATACTGGCCAATGTTATATTTTTTAATAAATTACAAAGATAATATTTTTACAACTTTCATGTATATTGTCATGTTTTAAAATTTTCTGTTTCTTAAGTATGTGGCCGGTTAGCTCAGTTGGTTAGAGCGTCGTGCTAATAACACGAATGACGTGGGTTTCGATCCCCATACTGGCCAATGTTAAATTTTTTAATAAAATACAAAGATAATATTTTTACAACTTTCATGTATATTGTCATGTTTTTAAATTTTCTGTTTCTTAAGTATGTTTCCGGTTAGCTCAGTTGGTTAGAGCGTCGTGCTAATAACGCGAATGACGTGGGTTTCGATCCCCATACTGGCCAATGTTATATTTTTTAATAAAATACAAAGATAATATTTTTACAACTTTCATGTATATTGTTATGTTTTTAAATTTGTTGTTTGTATTGTACGTGGACGGTTAGCTCAGTTGGTTAGAGTGTCGTGCTAATAACGCGAATGTCGTGGGTTCAATCCCCATACTGGCCAATGTTATATTTTTTAATAAAATACAAAAATAATATTTTTACAACTTTCATGTATATTATCATGTTTTTAAATTTTCTGTTTCTTAAGTATGTGGCCGGTTAGCTCAGTTGGTTAGAGCGTCGTGCTAATAACGCGAATGACGTGGGTTTCGATCCCCATACTGGCCAATGTTATATTTTTTAATAAAATACAAAGATAATATTTTTACAACTTTCATGTATATTGTCATGTTTTTAAATTTTCTGTTTCTTAAGTATGTGGCCGGTTAGCTCAGTTGGTTAGAGCGTCGTGCTAATAACGCGAATGTCGTGGGTTCGATCTCCATTCTGGCCAGTGTTATATTTTTAATAAAATACAAAGATAATATTTTTACAACTTTCATGTATATTGTCATGTTTTTAAATTTGTTGTTAGTCTAGTACGTGGCCGGTTAGCTCAGTTGGTTAGAGCGTCGTGCTAATAACGCGAATGTCGTGGGTTCGCTCCCCATACTGGCCAATGTTATATCTTTTAATAAAATACAAGGATAATATTTTTTACAACTTTCATGTATATTGTCATGTTTTTAAATTTGTTGTTAGTGCAGTACGTGGACGGTTAGCTCAGTTGGTTAGAGTGTCGTGCTAATAACGCGAATGTCGTGGGTTCGATCCCCATACTGGCCAGTGATATATTTTTTAATAAAATACAAAGATAATATTTTCACAACTTTAAAGTATATTGTCATGTTTTTAAATTTATTGTTTGTGTTGTGGGTTCGATCCCCATACTGGCCAATGTTATATTTTTTAATAAATTACAAAGATAATATTTTTACAACTTTCATGTATATTGTCATGTTTTTAAATTTTCTGTTTCTTAAGTATGTGGCCGGTTAGCTCAGTTGGTTAGAGCGTCGTGCTAATAACGCGAATGTCGTGGGTTCGATCCCCATACTGGCCAATGTTTTATTTTTTAATAAAATACAAAGATAATATTTTTACAACTTTCATGTATATTGTCATGTTTTTAAATTTTCTGTTTCTTAAGTATGTGGCCGGTTAGCTCAGTTGGTTAGAGCGTCGTGCTAATAACGCGAATGTCGTGAGTTCGATCTCCATACTGGCCAGTGTTATATTTTTTTAATAAAATACAAAGATAATAATTTTACAACTTTCATGTATATTGTCATGTTTTTAAATTTGTTGTTAGTGCAGTACGTGGCCGGTTAGCTCAGTTGGTTAGAGCGTCGTGCTAATAACGCGAATGTCGTGGGTTCGATCCCCATACTGGCCAACGTTATCTTTTTAATAAAATACAAAGATAATATTTTTAACAACCTTCATGTATATTGTCATCTTTTTAATTTGTTGTTTGTGTTTTACGTGGCCGGTTAGCTCAGTTGGTTAGAGCGTCGTGCTAATAACGCGAATGTCGTGGGTTCGATCCCCATACTGGCCAATGTTATATTTTTTTAATAAAATACAATGATAATATTTTTACAACTTTCATGTATATTGTCATGTTTTTAAATTTGTAGTTTCTGTAGTACGTGGCCGGTTAGCTCAGTTGGTTAGAGCGTGGGTTCGATCCTCATAATGGCGAATGTTATATTTTTAGTAAACTTTATTCAAACCTAATATTTTTATTACCTTATTATATCTTGTCATGTTTTAAAATTAAACGTTTCTTTGTGTACTTTTGGACATATGAGATTTGTAGAACGAGTTTATAAAGTTTATAAATTTTTGTTATTTTAAATTGACAATAAAATTTGATACTTTAGCTATAAAAAGGCAATTCATTTTTGTAATATGTAGAGAGAGTCAGTATTATTTTACTGTTTTGATGAATTAAATTAATTTTATATTAATATATATTTTATATGATATATATTGGCAAAGTTAAGGTATTTACATGCAAAAATATGTAAATACCCGCCGGAAGATCGTTTAAACTAATGGGATAGATAATATACAAATAATAATCATTAAAAAAGTTTTAAAAAACCCACGTTTTCTGATTGAACTAAAAAGTAGAAAATAAATGCTATAGGCCCTACATCACAATAATGCAAGCGATCACTCTACTATAAGCGATCAAAAACGTGGGGCGTCGAAGTAAAAGTTATATTACTATTGATTAGATAATACTATTGACTTTTATTAGGGAGCTTGTAGAGAGTCAACAGTATTAGAAACTGTAAGAAAATCACGGCGCCCCACGTTTTTGCTTGCTTTTGATGGGAAAATAGACCTGTGATATTTATATTTTTATATTTTAATTTTTATTGCACATATAGTGAATTTTAGCAAATTTGTTTCGAAAGGAATCAAAGTTTGTATTTTAGATTTTAAACACTTTAAATAGACTTGGATGAATGTTTTACAAATTTAATGAACTATAAAAACATTTTTTACTCGTATGACAACCTCTGTTGCTGTATTTCTGTTCTGAAGCATAAATAAATATTTTATATACTCTGAATTTTAATTCATTGTGTTTTTCAATTATTTATGTTTCCTTTTACTTTACTTTTAAAAGTGTGAGATTTTATCTTTAAAATATAGAGCAACAAATGCTTCTTAACTAAAAGCAATAATTGTATATTAAAATAGAAAACAATTATTTGTTACTGAGATCCTCTTATTGTACTGATTGTCAGTACGGTAAATAAAATAGATTTCAACAATTTGATGAAACTGGGCCGTGCGTATAGTGCTGGCATTTTCGAAATTGCAAGACCCATTTTATGTTTTAGTGTATGTTAACAATTTTTAGTGAGAATTACATAAAGCGAAAAAAGAACAAAATATTGTATTGACACAAGGCAGGTCTTCACAAAAACCCGAAGTTGTCTCCTTAAATGGTAGCAGCTTGTCTTTAAAAATATATACACGAACTATTCACTAATTTCTTGATTCTTTTTTACCTCTTCTCTTTGCCTTATTTACCTTTTGTTTGTATTTCATTTGTAGTGTCAAAATTTTTGTATTTTACGCACATTAAAAAAGCAATTCTCATTAAAGTTCGTATTTTCCTAAAACAGATAATAGTTGGTATAGAGATCTTAATTTAATGTGTTAAACTAAAACAAATATAAAAACACAATAAATGTTTAAGTTTGTTTTCTTAACTATATCAGGGCTTTTATATTTCATATAAATCTTTGTTTCATAGACATGAAAACCCTTA